TGGTGTGAGGTATCAATATCTATATGCATATTACTTCGGTCAAAATGATTGACCGAATAAACATGGGAAAAAAATATGAACTGAAGCGACATGAAGGAGGAGGTGGTCATGTACTTGAATTGTTTACCGTCAAAATACTTGACCGAAAAAAACCAACACACTATCCCATGCCCCCACTCCCGGAGAATAGAGTTGATGTTTAATTTAGTCAACATTATTAGTTCGGTCAAGAAAAAGGACCGAAATAAGATCAAAAGACAAAGGAGACTCCTTGACCTTTGCCAGAAAATTTTGGAAAATTTTTGAATTTTCCTCTTCATACAATGGTTAGAAGATTTGACCGAACTAATTTCATATCCCGCTGGCTTGCGAGTTTCTTTTTGGAGGTCAAGAATTTGAAATTTTTGCCTTTTATTTTGGTCAAAATATTTGACCGAAATAGTCCATAAATATTTCTATATTTAGTGGCTCACTCTTTTCTTTCATTTATTCTCAATCTTTTCTTTCGTTCTTTCTTCTCTTCCTCTTCAATTTTAGCATTTTTGTTAATCTTTTATTCCTCTTAACTTTAGTTAATTATTTTTGAATTTTCATTAAATCTTCATTTCTTCATCTTAGTACTCCTCTTTATTTCTTCATTTCTTCAAATTTAATTTACTTTCTTTTTTTTTTTATGCTAAACTAATATAATTAACTCCTTTTTCTTTACCATATCTCTTTTCCCTCCATTTTCTTTGATTATCTAAATATTGTAAATTTTTTTAACATTTTATCAACTTTTATGTATATATATTTAATGATTTTACTAATGATTTGATTTTTTATTTCAAAAGGTTACCTAATTTGGTGAAGAATGGGGCAACATTATGAAGATAATTAACTTTATTACTTTAATTAATATACATATTTTTTTAATTTACTCATATACATATTTTTTCATTTATTTTGGATTTATTTTGCATGCTTTAATTAATATGATTTCATTTGTGATTTTTTTATTTATTTTACATTATATTTTAGTAGGATTCTTTTTATAAATGTAAAGTATTTTTTGTTAATAAATAATTATAATCATAATTAAAGGTTAAATACCCTTTTTGGTCCCTCTACTATAGGAAAAAGCCCCTTTTTAGTCCCTGTACCAAAAAAATTCCTTTTTTGGTCCTTACTGTTCACCAATTCGGCCCCTTTTTAGTCCTTCCGTTAAATTTTAGGTGATGTGGCAAGTTAATTAACGGAAAATTTTATTTTTTTCTTTACTTAAATTACGTGTGAAATCCATGTGGCAAAACTCGATGACATGGCCA